GTGTGTGTGTGTGTGTGTGTATGTATGGGGTGTATTAATGGCGCAGGATGGTTGCTGGGTGTCTAAGAATACCCAATACTCTCATAGTTCATGATGGCACTTTTTAGGTTACGCAGGGCTGTTGAGGCAATGTAAATGGAAGGAAGTATTTTGGGATAACTTTGCTACCCAGTAAAGCACCAATAATAGATATCCTGGGAGGAATATACAGAAGACAACTTTAACATTGCTGAAGACCAAGCCGATAAAAATCATAATTTGGTCCAATTGGCTCAGTTGGACAGCTAAGGTCAAAGACATTTGCAATGTTTTCTTGGCATGTAAACAAATAGTTATGATTTTATCATCAGGTGCCATGTCTGTATTGGGATTGTTAGTCTGTTCATATGTAACAATGAGCAGGAGTAGACCATTCTTCCCCTCGAGCCTGCCCCCATCATTTAGTAAGATCATGTGATTTGACTGTAACACAAAATCTGCATTTCTGCCTACTCTGATAATCTTTAACCATCTTCCTTTGCAAAACTTTGATGACCAATGCGTTAAAAATATTCAGGCACTGCTTCCAGCACCAACTATTGAGGAAGAGAGTGCTAAAGACTTACGACAGAGGAAAATTTTTGCCTAACCTCTGTTTGTAATAGGCCATCCTGGATTTTTAAACAGCGACCCTAGTCACTGCACCCATTGCACCAATTTCCCTGATTTTCTATAGAGGAATTAATCTCTCCACATTTACCCTGTCAAGATATTCCAGAACCTTGTATGTTTCAATTAAATCATCCCTTGCTTTTCTGAACTCGTAATCTCCTAAATTGTTGTCACATTCTTTGTGATTGATATCAAGATCAAGACCAAAACTTCCTGCACTATGTGAATTAGATTGGATGCTCTTCAACCTTCAGGTTCCACAGCCTATACTTTGTGCAGAATATGTGTTGAAACAGGCTTCCAATGATACTATTTAAATAACAATTTTTAAAAAATTTTGTTCTAGACATTCACCAAAGCTGGTATTAGCGACACTCGTCTAAAACGTGCCATTGACTTAAAAAATAAGATTGATGCAGCACTAAAGAAACATGGAGAAATGAATATTAGTTATGAGGAGAGAATGAGAAAAGTGGTGAGTATGCTAATGGTTTAAGCCAGTGATTATCTGGATGTTTGCATGGATGACAAGATGTCTGCTTTGAAAGCTTTCAGGAAAATTCTGATAATGTATCTTGTTAAATTCTTCATCCTATCTGGCTGTTACCGGCAAGGCTCACATTTACTCCCCATTCTTAATTTTCCTGAATAACTTGGCTGGTCACTTCAGGGTGCAGTTAACATATTGATATAGGACTGTCATCTCACATAGATCAGACTGGGTAAGAACAGCAGATATTTATCAAAGAAATCTGAAAGCTTCATGATCATGTTTACTGATACCAGCTTTTTAGAATGGGATGTGAGCTCACAATCTATGGATCATTAGGTTTACTAGTCCAGTAAGATAACCACCACATCACTGTACTTTGGAAAGCCACGTTTGTACCACATTAGCTAACTGTTTCAGGACTCCATATAAAACTAGGTTATTTAGATGTGATATTATGAAGGAATTAGTGTAAAAGATTACGGTCATAATGAATGGTTATAAGGATAAAAAGTTATTTTCCTATTATTAAAAGTTTAAAGAACTTAAAAGGGCCCCTTTTTCTAAAAAGAATAAATGCAGTTCACAGTGCCTATATCATACATATTGGCATGTTTAGTCTCGTGTATTTTGTAGCAATAATTATATCCCTGATAAGAAAGAGACACCACCAAAATCTGCACACCTGTACTTTTTTACATATTGTCAGAAAAAAAGCACCACAATGTAGGATTTGTCTACAATGTGCTCACATTGATAATCCCAAACCACACTGAACTCGTATTTTTACAGTCAACGTTATAATCTTAAACAGACTCCTGCCCAGTGGGAATGAGCTCACATGAGAACTCACAGGTTTTAGGATTTCCTTACAACCAAAAAGAACTGCTCTCAGGAGAAATTAACAGGAATGTCCAATGCAGTATCATACTTAACTCAGTAATCACCATTAAATTTGAGAATAATTGTCATAGTTCATGTTGTAGCTTTTGTGGGGACTAGTCAGCTTTCATAGCAGAAGTTGAAGTGAGACCATACAGCCCAGCAGAGGGAGTTTTGTTGGATGCTGGTTTGCTGGAACAGAGTACTTAATCATTCTGGCCAGAAAAGGCTTGACAAATGTTGACTGCAATGTTTCATTTCTGATTTAGTGTTAAATTTAAATTTATGTTAAGAAAATGTTCTGCTGAATTGTATGTTATTTTTCCTCAGAATTTTTGACTCATCCTCAGCAAAGTAGAATTTGTTCTTTGGAACTGAGTTTCAACCGAATTAACCATGTATATAATTAAAAACAACTCTTTTTAAGAATGTGAATTTAGCCAATGCCATGTAAAAATTTATGAATGTTTGAACTGAATAATAATTTATTTATATCATGGACTTCCCTTCCACTCTGTCGATTGATAACCTACTTTAGGGCCACTAAGTTTCTTTGCCTAGCTCTCCTGGAATATATAACTTGTGCTGTTAATGGCTTTACACAGTGAAATTATAATTTTAGTTGTAAAGTTCTCATCATTGCTGAGTGACAGTGAAGTGGCAAAATACGAAGAGTGGAATCCTTGCTATCTCCATTTCCTTATGACAGCCAGTAAAATAGATTTTGGAGTAATTCCAATTCTACGATAAAACACTGAGGTAATTTTTGCAGATATTCTTCCCTTCCTCCTCCTGTTGCACTTCCAGACAGAAACATCAGTTATGAGCCTGCTTGCTCCAAAGCCAGCTGCCTTTCAGCGATACTGACTTGGGAGCATGGAACAGGCTTAATTGATGCAGAGTGGGTTAGCTGCATGCCCGCTTTTCCTTTACCATTCCTGAGAGCTGCCAGCCAACAAGATTAGTTGGCAGCCCTGGAGTCCCATGCAAGAATAATGCAAGTCCTGCCTCTCATACATCAGATAGCCATCTTGTGCTGGTGACCTACAATGACTATCTGCCCTTCTAATGCAGCCCCTTTGTCAGGTGCACCTGATGAAGGGGCTGCACTCTGAAAGCTTGTGAGTTCAAATAATCCTGTTGGACTGTAACCTGGTGTCGTGTGACTTCTGACTTTGTCCAACCCAGTCCAACACTGGCACCTCCACATCACTGAATGGAGATGGACTGAGTCGTGGTGGAGCAAGGACATTTAATTATTTGGGTACACAACATTTAAAGTTAGCACACAAGTAAAAGTAGTAATCAATATGGCTAATGGAATGCGACTTGTATCAAGTGAATTCAATATCATGGAAGTGCAGGAGGAGGATATTTGGCCCATTGCATCTGCAACGACTCTCCAAATGAGCATTGTGATTTAATTCCATTCTGCTGTCTTTTCCCCACACCCTTGCACATTGCTTCTGTTTAAATATCATTTAATGCCCTCAGAATGCATCAACTGAATCTGCTTGCACCAGACTTCGAGGCAGAGTGTTTCAGACACTACTTGTTGGGTGAAAAATGTTTTTTCTCATATCAGATTTATTTTGTTGCAAGTCACATCAAATCTGTGCTTTCTCAATTTCAGCCTTTTACAAGTGGAAACAGTTTATTTCTATCTACTCCTTCCAGCCCTTGCATAAGTTTGAAAACTTCTAATATATCTCCTCTTAGTCTTCTTCTCTCCAAGGAGAACAGTCCCAACCACTTCAGTCTATCCTCCTAACTGAAGTTTCTTATCCATGTTACCATTTTTGCAAACCGCTTCCTTACACTGCCCAATGAATTCACATCCTTGCTATAATTTGGCACCCAGATACACGATACTCCAGCTGAGGACTGACAAGTGTCTTATACAAATGCAGCACTTGTACTTTAAGCCCCTATTAATGAAGACCAGCTCTCCACTTGTGCAGCTACCTTCAATGACCTGTGCACATGTACACCCAGATCCCACTGCTTCTACCCGTTATGTTATATTGTTTGTCCATGCTCTTCAGACCAAAATATGTTACAATTCCCTTGTTAACATTCACCTGCCACCAATCCTCCAACTTAGCTGTGCCCTGTTACAGTTCCATACTGTCCTCACTATTTAGAATGCTTTCAAATTTTGTATCACTCACAAAGATCTAGATCCTTAACATATATAACTGGAAAAGCAAGAGCCTAAATGCCAATACTTGGGAAACTGCAAAACAAACCTTCCTCCAGCCTGACAAATATCCAGAGAACAAAGAACAGTACAGCATAAGAACAGACCGTTCAGCCCACTAAGCCTGCATCGACACATGGTCTCATGACTGTAAACCTGGATCTCTCTCTGTATGTTAAACTAAAAACCTTCTTCCTTCACGTGGTCCATATCCCTTTATTCTGTGCCTATTGAGGTGTCTGCCAGGAAGTTTCTTAAATGTTGCTATTGTATCTACTTCTATCACTACCTCTGATTTGATTTGATTTATTTATTGTCAGGTGTACCTAAGTACAGTGAAAAGCTTTGTTTGCGAGCAGTACAAGCAGATCATAGCAAAGACTTACAGATCATACAGGTAACGTCGCACAGGGCATGCGCTAGGCAAGATCAACAATGGCAGGATCAGCATTATTTGAAGTTAGAGAGTTCATTCATCAGTCTGATAATGGCTGGGAAGTAGCTGTGCCTGAACCTGCTGGTGTGTGTGTTCAAGCTTCTGTATCTTCTGCCTGACAGAAGAGATTGTAGGAGATCATTACTTGGATGCAATGGATCTTCGATGATGTTGGTAGCTTTTCCATGGCAGCGAGCTGTGTAAATAGAATCTATGGATGAAAAGTTGGCTTCCGTGATGGTCTGGTCTGGTCTGGGCTGTGCACACAACCTTGCTCACTTTCTTATGGACCTGGGCAGAGCAGTTGCTGTACCAGGCTGTTATGCACTCGGATTGTATGCTTTCAATGTGCATCTGTAGAAGTTGGTGAGGGACCTTACGGACATGCCAAATTTCCTAAGCCGCCTGCGGAAGAAGAGACTTTGTTGTGCCACCTTGACCATCACCTGTATGTGAGATGTCCAGGACAGGTTGGTTATTGTCACTTCGAGGAACTTAACACCCCCCACCCTCTCAACCTCAGCTCCGTTGATGTAGATGGGGGCATTTTCTACTTTCTTTCTGATGTCAATGGTCAATTCTTTAGTTTTGCCGATGTTGAGAGTGCATTCCAGGTACTTACACCCTCTGTATTTTTAAAAAAAAACTTGCCTCTCATTTCTCCTTTAAACTTTCCCCTTTGACTTGAAAATAATGTCCCCTAGTAATTGACATTTCTACACTGGGGGGAAGACCTCTGAACATCCATTCTACCCATGCCTGTCATAATTTAGTAAACCCCTATCAGGTCACTCCTGAACCTTCAACGTTGAAGTGAAAACAGGCTGAGTGTCTGATCTCTTCCCATGGCTAATACCTTCCAAATCAGGCAACATCCAGTAAACCTTTTCTGCACCCTCGCAAAGCCTTCACATCATTCTGGTAGTGTGGCAACCAGAACGGTGCACAATATTCTAAATGTGGCCTAACTAAAGTTGTATACAGCTGTAACGTGACTTGCCAAATTTTATACTCTCCCCGACTGATGAAGGGAAGCATGCCGTACACCATCTTGAAGACCTTATCCAATGTGTTGGTGCTTTCAAGGAACGGTGGATCTGTACACCTAGATCTCTCTAAGAGTTTTGCCATTTACTGTACACTTCTCTCCTGCATTAGACCTTCCCAAAATGCATCACCTAGCATTTGTCCAGGTTAATTTCCATCTGCCATTTCTCTACCCAAGTCTTCAGCCTATCAGTATCTTGCTGTATCCTCTGGCAATCCTCCTCGCTATCTGCACTTACCCTGATCCTTTGCGTTATCTGCAAACTTACTAATCAGCCCATTTGCATTCTGTTCCACATTTATATATATTACAAACAACAAGCATCCTAGTACTGATTCCTGTGGAACACCACTGGCCACAGATGTCCAGGCTGAAAAACATCCTTCCATTGCTACTCTCTATCTTCTATAACCAAGCCAGTTTTGTATCCACCTTAGCAGCTCACCGTGGATCGCATGTGAGTTCACCTTTTGTATCAACTTGCCATGAGGGACCTTGTCAAAGAAGAGTCACTGCACCTGAAATGTTAACTCTGCTTTCTGTCTACAGATGCTACCGGACTTGCTGAGTTTTTCCAGTAATTTCTGTTTTGTTTCTGATTATCAGCATCTGCAATTCTTTGGTTTTTCAACATTCACTGCTCTGCCCTCATAAATTATCTTTTTCGCTTTTTCAAAAAACTTCATCAAGGTTGTGAGACATGACTTCTACTACAGAAAGCCATGTTGCATGTCACTAATAAGTCCATATTTTTTAAAATGTGAATAAATCCTATTCCTAAGAATCTTCTCCAATAATTTACCTACCACTAACGCAAAGTTCATCAGTCTGTAACTTCCCAGATTATGCCTTCTTAAATGAAGGAGGGATATTAAGTATTGTCCAATCCTCTGGGACTTCTCCTTTGACTAAAGAAGATACAAAGATTTTGTGCAAGGCCCCAGCAATTTTCTCCCTCACCTCCCTCAGTATTCTGGGATAAATCCCATTAAGCCCAGGGGACTTGTCTACCTTAATGCTTTACAAAACATCCAACACCACACCTTTTTTATATTGACCGTCATAGAATATCAACATGCCCTGTCTAGACTCACCATCCACCATGTTCTTCTTTGTGATTACAGATGCAAAGAATACAATAAAGACCTCACCCACATCCCCTAGCTCCATGCATCAATTTCCTCCTTTGCCCTTGAATGGACGTGTCCTTTGTTCCTTTTATGCATATAAAAAGCCTTGGGATTTTCCTTAATCCTGTTTGCCAAGGTAATTTCATGGCCCCTTTTAGCTCTCCTAACTCCTTGTTTAAGTTCTTTCCTGCTTAATTTATATTCTTTGACGGCTCTGTCTGTCTTCAATTTCCCAAGCCTTATGTATGCTTCATTTCTTTTTTTGACTATGCTCATAATTTCTCTTCTCAGGCGAGATTCTCAAATCCTTCTGTCCTTATTCTTCATTTTCACACAAACCTGCTGGTCCTGAACTCTAATCAACTAGCTTTCAAAAGATTCCAGATGTGGATTTTCCCTCAAACAGCCGTCCCCAATCTATGTTCCACTGTTCCTGCCTAATATTGTTGTAGTTAGTACATTCACCTAAAGGTGACTCTTATCCTTATTCATAAGTAATTTAAACTTGTGAAATTATGGTAATTGTTCCCAAAATGCTCCCCACTAAAAAAATCTTCAATCACCTGGCTGAGCTCATTCCCCAATACCAAGTCTAGTATGGCCTCTTCCCTCTTTGGACTATTTAAATATTGTTTCAAGAAACCCTGCTGGACACACCTAACGAATTACCCCTTGCCCCTGACATCCAGGCGCCTGGCATGAATCAAGTCCCAGTCAATAAAGGAGAAGTTAAAATCACCCACCGCATTTACCCTGTTGTTTTCATATTTTTCCATAAACCTCTGTCCACATATGTGTTCCTCTATCTTCTGACGGCTGTTGGGAAGCCTGTGGTACAAACACATCGAAGTGATTGCCTTTCCTTTTCCTGAGCTCTACCCATGTTGCCTTGCTGGATGAGCCCTCCAAGGTGTCTCCTCTCTCAGTACAGCTGTGATATTCTCCCTAATCAGTAATCCAATTCCCCCACCTCTTTTACATCCCTCTCTATCTCACCTGAAACATCTAAATCCTGGAACATTATGTTGCCAGTCTTGTCCCTCTTGCTACCAAGTCTGTAATAGCTATAACATAATAGTTATTTGATGTTATACGTTCATCTGCCTTGCCTATCCTACTTCTCATGTTAAAACAAATACACTTCAGACTGCCAATCTTACCATGATCTGTAACTTCTCCCTGTCTGTTCTTCCTATTAACCTTACTGCGTACAGTTCTGGTCGCCACATTACCAAAAGGATGTGGATGCTTTGGAGAGGGTGCAGAGGAGGTTCACCAGGATGTTGCCTGGTATGGAGGGTGCTAACTATGAAGATAGGTTGAGTAGATTAGGATTATTTACACTAGAAAGATGGAGGTTGAGGGGGGACCTGATTGAGGTAAACAAAATCATGAGAGGTATAGACAGGGTGGATAGCAAGAAGCTTTTTCCCAGAGTGGGGGACTCAATTACTAGGGGTCACGATTTCAAGGTGAGAGGGGAAAAGTTTAAGGGAGATATGCATGGAAAGTTCTTTACGCAGAGGGTGGTGAGTGCCTGGAATGCGTTGCCAGCGGAGGTGGTAGAGGCAGGCACGATAACGTCATTTAAGATGTATCTAGACAGATACATGAATGGGCAGGGAGCAGAGGGATACAGATCCTTGGAAAATAGGTGACAGGTTTAGATAGAGGATCTGGATCGGCGCAGGCTTGGAGGGCCGAAGGGCCTGTTCCTGTGCATAATTTTCTTTGTTCTTTGTTCTTTACTCGCCTTAGTTTCTAACTCCTCCTCGAACATTTCACTTGCTGACCTATTGCTCTGGTTCCAACTTCCCTGCCACCCTAGTTTAAATCCTCCTGAGTGACACTAGCAAACCTCCCTGCCAGAATATTGGTGCCACTCCAGTTTAGGTTCAACTTGTCCTCCTCCTACAGGTCTCTTCTGCCCCAGAAGACACCCTAATGATCCACATACCTGAAGCCCTCCCTCCTACACCAGCTGTTTTAGCTGTGTATTTAACTGTATATCTTCCTGTTTCTAGCTTCACTGTTATTTGGCATAGGAAGTAATCCTTAGATTATAACCCTAAAGGTCCTGCTTTTCAACTTACTACCTAACTCCCTTTGCAGAATCTCATCACTCTTCCTGCCTGTGACATTGATACTAATGTGCATGACCATCTCTGGCTGCCTGCCCTCCCTTTTGAGAATGTCCTATGCCTACTCGGAAACATTCTTAACCCAAGCACCAGGGAGGCAGCATACCATCCTGGAGTCTCTTTGGCAGCCTCACAAACGCTGATCTGTGCCTCTGACTATGGAGTCCCCATTTACTACTGCTCTTCTGCACTTTGACCCTCCATGTTGTACAACAGAGCCAGCTGTGGTGCCACCATTCTGGCTGCTGCTGTCGCTATCCCCCGTTAGGCCATCCCCTCCAACAGTATCTAAGACTGTATTACTGTTAGGGCAATAGCCACAGAGAACTCCTGCACTGACTGCCAGCCCCCTTATAGTGGTTACTCATCTATTTACCTGAGCGTTGAGTGTGACCAAGTCTCTCGAACTCAATCCATTGACCATTTTTAAAATTTTCTATCAATCAGCCTATTTTATATCCGCGTTGCTACTGTCCCTTTTATTCCTCTGTGGAAAATGATAATTGAAGCTTGACAACCGGGGGTCGTCAAGAGTAGAATCGCCGTAGGAAGAAAAGCAGGCCATTTAGCCTCTTAACCCTGCTCTGCCGTACAGTGCGATGATAGCTGTTCTGTGCCCTAATTCAATATTAATCTCTGATCTAAAATCTTAAATTTCTGTTCCATATTTTTCATTTATGAAAGAGTTCAAGACTTTTGTCACCTTTTGTGTGTAGTTGCGTTTCTGACTTTGTTACTGAAATATCTGAATTTCTAAAATATTTCCCCAGTCAAAGATATTGAACTTGTAAAAATAGATTCTATCAACTACCCTATCTAGTACTCTTAATGTCTTGAAAACCTCACTCAAGTCATCACTTATTCTTCTAAATTCCAGGGAATCCAGCCCCAGTTTTGTCATCTCTCCTAGTAACTTAATCTTTGAAATCGAAGATCTTTATGACAAGTTACACAGCGCTCTCTACAAGGCCAATATATCCTGAAAAGAGTATTATGCCCAAAACTGCACTTGGGGTTTTGTGTAGCTGTAGCAGAATTTTTCTTTTTGTACTTTAGTTCTTTAAATATAAGTGGGTAACCTTTTTAATGTTTGTTTGTTTGTGTTCATCACATTTTAATTATCAATACACCTTGTCCTCTGTGTCTAATTGGACCTGCACTGTTCCTGGCCTTTTAGCATATATCAATTTGTCATCAAGAGATTTAAAGAACTAGCTATCCTTCTTTTAAAATTATGGAAATTATTTACTACCAGCAGTCTACTTTGGGTGGCACTGGGGAACTGAAGTTTTAACTTGCAGAAATTAACATTTTAGTTTTCAATTATTATGAAAAATTCTGAGAAACACCTAAATAACTCCTCTAAATAAATTCAAGTCTAACTGCTATGACCTTGTTCTATAAATATAAGATGTAGATGTTTCATGGAAAAGTCAAGAGCTTGGTGGAGAATGATCAGAAATGTTGTTTACTGGTTTATTTCAGTTAGGTTCTGAATCTTTCTTTGTTTTCCATCAAAACTGGAGCCAAATAAATAATAAACTAGCCTATGAAGTACGTTACTATATTTTTTTAAAAACAGGCATAACTGTAGCCCAAAATATTTAAATTGACACCACAATTTGTCAAAATATTTTCCAAGAATTCTGATAAATGATATAGTATCGCAATCTTGCATTTAACTTGACTTTAATCCTTCATTACTTAAAAAAAAAAATTCCTAGTGAGCTATGATTTGTACACACTTTCTTGTTTATTATTGACTCATTATTTGTCAGTTAGATACGTCTCTATCAAAATTAAATATGAGCTGAAATTGTCAGAGAACAACAATGCAAGTTGATTGTGATTTTACAAGTCTTTGCCACAAATCTTTTGAAATATTGTATTTTTTATATTGTGTTGTTAGAGGTTGAGGGTAGATGCACCTGACTTACTGGAGTGCTGTAATTTGCAGGACCTTCTAGAAAGGATATTAGCATATAAATAGCAGATGCAATGACGACTATCACAGCTGAGTACATTTAATTTTTAGTTTATAAGATAGAATGGGTTTTTAAATGCATAGCCATCAAGCCTGCAGAATGACAAATGAAGTTTTAGAGTTCACTTGTCTAAGGATGCCTTATAACATCATTTTTTAGAGTGTAACAGACACTTATTTAAGACACAGCAAAACTGATTTCCTGGGTGGGAAATAATTGTGATTACCTCCCAAATTAATTAGACCATGGAGAATTTATTTTATGATTCTATTAAGATTTTACGCAAAACAAAATGTATAGGGAAGCAGATTTTTTCAACCATTCAAATATTTAGAATAATCCTTTTCTTTAGCTTAATTTGCTTTGATGATACAGGGATGAATAATTCATTGGTTTTATTTTGGTAAGATTAAGCCCAGTAAAACATTTAAATGCATTTTGGTGTTTTTGCAGCATTTTAACAAAAAAAACTGGAAAGAAATTTAATAAACCAATATCATTCTGATGATCTACCTTTAAATTGAGATAGGATATGTTTCACTTCAGTCTATCCTAATGTGCACTAATGATCGTGCAAAGTTTTCAGCACTTTTTTGCTTTCTTTTTGTAATGAGCAATTTTATTGCACAACTAGTCAGCATCATTTAATTGTAGTTTCCTTGATGGACAATAACCATAGAATTGCTCTATCACAGAAAGCACACATTTGGCTCTCTGAGAGGAACTCACCTAATCCATTCCCTGCCTGTATGCTTTGCATTGCAAGTTTTTCCCTTTCAGATCACATGTTGTGATGTGGATGTAAGGAATCTGTGAAGAATTATAGATAGTTTGAGTGAGTGGGCATAAAATTGGCAGATGGAGTTTAATGTAAGGAAGTGTTTGGTAAAAGGCAGCCTATTATTTGAATAGAGAGAGACTCCAAACAAGTATAGCACAGAGGGATCTGCATGTTTTTGTCCATGAAACACAAAAAGTGCAACTACAGCAAGTGATCAAGGAGGCAAATGGAATGTAGATCTTTATTACTTTGGGTTTGGAATTTAAAAATAAGGAATTCTTAGAAGTGTTCACTGTATTGGTGAGGGTGCTCCTGGAGGACTGTATAGAGCTTCAGGCCCTTTATTTTCAAAAGGATACACTGGTTTGGAGGCTGTTCAAACGAGATTCCATCAGCAAATTCCTGCGATGAAGTGGATGACTTGCTAAGATCAGGTAAACAGCTTAGGCCTTTTTCATTAGTGTTTAGAAGAATGAGGGGTGATCTTCAAACATCCAATATTCTGCTAGGGCTTGGCAATGTAGATGTTGAAAAACATGTTTCTACTAATGGGGAAAGTCTTGAACAAGCTTATTTATAGTTACCAAATAAGGGGACACTCATTTAAAACTGAGATGCAAAAGATTTCTTCACCCAGAAGGTAGCGAGTGTCCGAAATTCTGTACCCCAAAAGGTTAAGGAGGTAAGATCACTGAAAGTATTTTAACGAGAAGGTGGATATATGTATTATATGTATGTATTTGAAATATCAGGGCGTTGAAGGCTATGCTGAGCTGACATAGGAGGCTACAGACTTGAAGAATGACAGGGCAGACTTGAGAGGCTGAATGGCCTATTCCTGCTATTTCTTATGTTCTTAGATAATTGTCCAATTAAAGGCAACAATTGAATCTGTCCCCTTCACACGTTTAAGTAATACAAACTACTGGCTTCAATAATTTCTGATAATTTCCCTATTGCTCCTTTGCCACTTGTCTTAAATTACAATCTTCCTGTTTTTGATCCTTCCACCAACATTCCCTATCAAATATTTCTATTAAATGTTCTTTCATCCTTCTGTCCAAGGAGAGCAGCCCCATCATCTTCGGTCTATCCATGCAAAGGAAGTCCCTCATTCTAAAACAAATCTCATAGATCTTTTCTGAGCCCTCTCCTTTGTGACTCAGGTGTTGTTATTTTACATAATTATTTTTGGTTACATAAGAACAGGCCATGTTTTCCAAAATAATTAATTTTGTAAAGAATTTTGAGATAATTGGAAGGTGACAAAGTCCGGTCTGATTTTGATTTGCCCTGGGCATAAGCTGTGGCAAATCTACACCCTTATTTGATGGAAACAAAATTTGTGTGAACTACAACCCTGATTGCATATTCACAATTGCCCATTTTTGTTTTACTGATGATCAATTTCATCCCCAATATGCCATCTAACTCTCAAGTACCCTTATTTCCATGTAATGTATCTGGGTAAACTAGGCATTCTTGGCCAATGTCTTTTCTCTACTGGGATTATTATTGATGGTCAATTGTCATATCAGTGCATGCAGCAGTTTTGGAACCCATGCAGTAAGTGCATATAAAACAATAAAAGGAAAGCCTAGCCTCTTTTCTTTCTATTCTAGGAGATGCCCTTTTCACGATTTAATCAGTCTTTTTTGAGATTTATCCTCTCTAGAGAGAAGTGCAAGATTGTTTTCTTAATGACTATAATGTCCTAATTTTACTTCATATTTTGAGAAATGATAAACAGTGGAAATAGTGGAATTTCTTGCATTTATAAAGAAAATGCAGTATATGTTATGCATTGTAGCACCACATCTCCTCCTACTGCACCTTTTAGAAAATTAAAACTCATAAATTCTGTTTAGTGTTTGATGTGCAGTGTGCAAGCTGAAAGCCATAATACCCTAAACCTTGGGTTGCGTTTCACCTTTCATAAATTCCTGGGTAGATTCTATACAAAAATAATTTTCAGGTCCGCAGCTCATTGTTATTCAGACTTGATTGATTGCTGTCATTTACTCACTGAGAAAGTTAAGTGCTCCTGTCATTTCCGAAGAGTATAATTAGGATGTTTCACAGGTCAGCGATAGTGACAGGTTTTCTTTTGATTTGCTTCGACAGATGAAAGGGACCGATGAGGAAGATGATGACGACGATGGTGATTTTGTTGAAGTTCCAGAGAAGGAAGGTTATGAGCCGCACATTCTGGAGCACCTTCGGGAGGAGTACGGTGAGTTTATGCAGCTGTTGGCTGCTACTTCTAAGCACACTCTCCCACAGCTAAGTAAATAAAGCCCCATTATTAAGCAATAACGTGATTAGATGTGTACTTAATCTGCTCAGTGATGACTGAGGAAGTGATTACCAAGTTATTTGAACATCCATCCATTACAACAAATAAACATCTTGTGATACTCCCTGACAAACATCCAATAACTTTGTTATTTGAATGTGTTTCTCCCTGTCCCACCTACCTCTTCAAACCTAAACGTGTAGCATCCTAACTCCTGTACCAACTCAACTGTTCAATTCCAATCCAACTCTCCTCCCAGTAGTAATCTTTGTTCGCACCATGTAGGTACTTATTTGAATAGAAATATGAAAGTCTGTAACATGCGCATATACATCAAGGTGAAGTGGGCCTTTGCTTAAAGGAAAAGACTCCAGCAGTTGATGTATTATGCAATGCTTTTCCAAATTCATATGAATTCAACCAAGTAAGAGTGTAGGAACAAAGGAGCAGGAGTAGACCATTCAGCCATTCTGGCCTGCTTCACCATTCTAAATCATGACTGATCATCCAACTTAATTCTCTCACCATTCCCATAAACTTTGATGTTATTTGAAAACATATCAATTTCTGTCTTGAATTTAGTTAATGACTAAGCTTCCACAGCCCTCTGGGTAGACAATTCCAAAGATTCACAACCATATGCATGTAGATGTTGCTCCTCCTCTCAATCCTAAATGGAGTTTATTATTATTTAGACTTGATTGATTGCAGTCATTTACTCACTGGGTATTATTCTGAGATGGTATACCCCTGTCTAGACCACATAGCCAGGGAAACTTCCTTTCTGCATCTATTGTGTCTAGTCCTTCAATAAATGTTTATGAGATTCCTTCTCATCCATTTAAATGCAAAGGAATACAATCCTCAGTGTCTCCTTACAGAGCAGTTCCACCATCTGTGGAATCAGTCTGATGAATTTCTGTCACACTGTGTTCTTCCTTAGGTGTATTCTTCCTTAGGAAAGGGGACAAGAATTGCGTGCAGTACTCGAGCTGCAGTCTCACTGGTGTTCTGTACAAATTGAAGCAAGACTTCCTTCCTTCTTTGCAAAATCCTGTTGCAGAAAAAGCTAACATACCATCCGTCTTGCAAATTGTTTTTTTTATTTATTCATGGGATCTGGGCTTTGCTGGCTGTGCCAGCATTTATTACCCATTCCCGATTGCGTTGAAGAGATGGTGATAAGCTGCCTTGTTGAACCTCTACAGTTCATTTTGTATAGATACAGCTGCAATATTGTTAGGGAGAGAGTTCCAGGAGTTTGACCCAGGCACACTGAAGGTACAGCGGTATATTTCCAAGACTGAGTGGTTTCGAGGGGAATTTGCAGGTGTTGGTGGTGTTGTTCCCACGTATCTACAGCCCTTTTCTTTCAAGATGGTCGTCATGGGTTTGGAATATGCTGAATAAGGACTTGATGGATTTCTGCAGTGCATTTTGCATATGCTACATCTGAGCATCAGCATGGAGGAAGTCAATGTTTGTGGATGTGGCACCAATCTGAAGGCTAGTCTCATTGAGTTTCTGGTCAATGGTAACCCCAAGAATGAGGATAGTGGGATATTCAGTGATGGTGATGATATTGAATATGAAGGTGGTTACGTTCTCTCTTATTGCTGATGGTAATTGCCGACACTGGTGTGGCACAAATTCCTTCAAGTCAACCCAAACCTGAATATTTGGTCCAGGTCTTGCTGCATTTGGCCAGGATTTTGAATTACAATTGAATCACAGTTTTGAAGAATCACAAATAGTGCTGAACATTGTGCAATTATAACACGTCTGACCCTGGGGCTGAGATGACTGATCTCTAACAACCACAACCATCTTCCTTTTTGCTAGGTGTGACTCCACCAGAGGAGAGTTTTCCCATTGACTCTAGTTTTGCTAGCTTTCCTTGATGCCACATTCTTTGATGTCAAGGCCAGTCACTTTCACCTCATTCTTTTGTCCATGTCTGAATGAAGTCTTTAATGAGGTCAAGAGCAGAATGGCCCCGGCAGGACCCAAATGAACATTACCAAGCAGGTTATTGCTTGGCATGTGATGCTTGATTGCACTGTTGATGACCCCTTTCAATAATTTGCTGATAATCAGGTATAGGCTGATGGGGCAGTAATTGGCCATGGTGTTTATGTTTTGCTTTTTTTGGCCACAGGATATACCTGGCAAGTTTTCCACAAATGCTTGCTGCATCTTCATGTTAACATTTTGTAATTTATGAAAGAGGACACATTGGTTCTTTTAGGCATCAACACTTTCTAATTTCTCACCATTTAAGAAATATTCTGAACTTATTTTCCTCCAATCTCACACTTAACTACATCATATTCCATCTGCCATACACCTGCCCACTCGCTCTGCCTGTCTAAATCCCAGGGAAGCCTTTTTGCATCCTTCTCAAAACTCCCTTTCCCATCATGTTTTGCCTCATCTGCAAAGCTGAAAATATGACAACTACCCTCCACATCCAAATTATCGATAGATTGTGAATAGCTGGGGCCTAAGCTGTGATCCATGCAGTGCCTTTGGTCACAGCCTTCCATCTGGAGAATGACCTATTTATTCGAACACACTATGCTTTCTGCCTGTTAACCAATCCTTAATCCATGCTAGTATGTGGTCTTCAAATACATGCGCTTTAAAATTCAATTGGATGACTTGACAAAATTCACTCTAAGCAGGTATAAATACCTGATCATTGCACAAGTGTGACACTGAAAAATGATGATTGAGAGGACAGACAGGGTCTCAATCTAATGGCTTATCTGGAAGATGGCACCTTGTACGTACATCACTCCCACATTACTGTACTTTAGTGCAGCTGAGATTTTATGCTTAAATATGTGGAATGCAATTTAAGCTGACAGTCATTTGACTTGGGTGAGATGTTTTGGGTTTATTGACAGGATAACAATGAATTGCACTGCATTGTGCTTCAATATAACTTGATTGGGGGAGATAGAAAAATCCTGCAGGCTTCCCTCTTCTAATTGTTATACACCAGTTCATTATGTTGGTCTTAGTAATGAGATCAAGTTCCATTCTGCTTCTTTAACAGAAGGGTCAAGAACTAGATGACACCAATTTTAAGGTGATTGGCATCAGAGCTAAAAGTGATACAAGGAGAAACCTCCTTGCATAAAAACATGTTTAAGATCTCAAACACTCTGTCTGAGAGAGTGATGGAAACAAATTCAAAAATGACTTTCAAAAGAGAGTTCGGATAAGCCCCTGAAGCGAGAAAATTTTCAGGGGTGCACGGAAAGGTTGAGGAAGTGGGATTACCTAACTTGCACTTCGAAGAGCCGACATTGACTTGTTGGGCCAAACGTCGTCGTCCTGTGCTGCAACCATTCTGTGATACTCTGATTTCACTTAAAGCAACAGTTTATAAGTCAATCAGTACTTTATTTTACTGACTACCTCCCCAACACAAAACTATACATGCTTTCTGCTCAACAAGTTAAAAAGATTTCCAAAAAGCTTATTTGGTCAGGGTTATGCAAAATTGAGAGAGTCAAGAGTTAAAAAGTTTAAAAGCATTAGTGTCCATAGAAGCTTTCCATGGTTCAACTTCTATCAGCAGTTTCTATTATCTGTATCAACAATTTACCAATTAAACTTCAGAGCCGATCTGATGTTGTTAAACTGAAGGTAAAGCTTCACAGCTGAGGAAACCTTCCTTCTCTCACTTTCTCTCTCTGCACCACTGAGGCCCTTTATCTTCTTCCTAATCCCAAGATTTCTGTCAGGACATAATCTCTTTCTCAAATTTACATTTTAATTACAAGTCCTGGTGAACTTGCTAAAATCAATAATGTCAGCATTCAGTGGCCTAGCTTTCAGCCACAGGCCCAGCCTTGCCATTTCCTGCTATTGATTCATCTTTTTAACTCTATCTCTGTTATTGCTTCAGGCAAATAGGTGACACTGAACAATTTCAAAAAGATTTTGATATGTTATAGTTCTTTACAGAGGTCATAATTTACAACAGAAAGGAGTTATATATGGAAATAAAGGACAAAAACATTTTTTGCAAGAAATAACCTTTGTTTTCATTAGATTTGGCATGAATGCAAAATTTTGATTAATGATCTTTAACCGACTTGGAATTACTTGTAGTAACTTCTTGTTGATGTAACCCAGCACAAAGCCAACTAATTGTTCCCCTTGTCTCCCTTCAGTTTTTCTCTTAGCAAACTATTAGGATGCAGTTCCACAGAGGACTGGTATTTTTTGATAGCTTTCCAAATTCCAGTTCATGTTTTAGCTTGGTCAGAAAATGCCTTGAGATTTAATTGTTTACATGACCTTGAAGCCTATGCAACTCTCCTAGCATGTGTTCACTTTTTATTTCCAACAAGATCACCTGATAGTGATCGAGTTCAAAACCTGCCTTTCCCTGCATCACTTTGTGATTTCTGCACAATGCTAATTGTAGCACCCCACTACTATTGATTAGCTGTGGGTGTGGAATTCAAAAACTTAATTTAGATCTTTGTGGCTTAATGCAGTCTTTAAACCATGAGGTGAGGGAAAGCATGCAGTTAACTATACGTTCCCCTAATTTATTTAGGTGAACTACTTAAATATGTGCTTACAAAACTGTTTCTTTGTAGTACTTGTATTACTTTTCTGTTTCATACACCTTGATAACTATCTGAAGAAATTGTTAATTATAAATGCTTATGTCACTATGAATATTAGTTATTTGTGCGTATTCAAATCTTTATTCCTGTCACAAGCAGAAGTGATATTCTATATGTTGCATGTAACTTCAGGACTGGAGCCAACAAAGACTAAGGAAACCGAGAAGAGAATAATACCATCATCTGGCCCCACATGCCCATGGAGAAATGATGAGGAATCTGATCCAACATGTGCAGCAGCAACATTAAAGATCTTGAAGACAA